GCACCTTTTGGGATGAGCACTGGGTGTTGTATGGAAACCAATTTGACAATAAATTTCATATATAAAAAAAAAAAAAAGAATATAAATATTAAATCCTATTGGATTTAATATAGAACCTTAAAACATTCAATTTCATCAGATGTATAGGTACTCCATATGAAAACTATCAGTTTTTTTCTAAGTCTCCTTCAAACAATTTAAAGATTTCTCTTTTGCAGAATATAACCTGTATTTGTTAGAATTCTTCTTAGTAAATGTAATGAACTCAGCTAAAAGCTGCACCTACGAGTATTGCCAAAAGTCATACCTACGACTCACTGATTATTCTGGGCCTTTAATCCAACTTAAGTGGATTTCTCTTGTTAATTATAAATCAGGACCCATTCTCTTAGCTTTGTCTCTATGTCTGTAATAAACTTGGTAACTCACACTTATTAAAAACAAAAAAACTTGCTCTTCATAACCATTGCTTTATTTATAGATTCAACATTATCTGAAAGCAGAGAAGCAGAACAAGAAGCTGAAGAGAGTAAATATATATACCTGTTTTATAGCTTGTTGAGCCAAAAAAGCCATCTGTAGTGGGTTGGGCTTTATTGCTTGCCTTGGCATGTTCTGGTTCGGTGGGTATCTCAGCTGTTGAGGATGTGGAGGAAGAACTGGTCCATTGGGTTTGGGGCTGTGATTTTGGAAATTTATCAAACGTGGAGGGGGTTGCTGGAAAAAAGAAATTAAACCATTTTAGTCACAGTCATCTCCTGAAAGACAAATTACAGAGAAGTCTGTAACTTTCAAAGAAAGACAGCAACTCTGTCACAGACGAACAACTTATTAATACTACAACAAGGGTGTGGGGGAAGGAGGCAGCCTTCCAGAATGTGTAAAGCTATGTGAAAAGGGGTTTCATTAGGAAAGAGCCGTGGGACAGGGGTTTCCAACTTTAAGTAGGTTATAATAGGACTGGATGTAGGCGATGTTAGGAAGTAGGGAAAATTTGTGTTAAGTATCCTTCTAAGTCCCTGATTTGCCCTCTTCAGACATCCTAAAATAATATGGTGGTTGAATACTAATCGCTAACATTTACTGAGCAGTTGTTACATGCCAGGCACTGCTTTCAGAGATTTCTATGAGAGAACTCATTTAATCTTCACAACACTCTTATGAGGTAGGGACTCTTTATTTTACAGAAAAGGAAATCAGGGTATAGAGAATTTAAATAACCTATCCAAGATTAACAAAGGTAGTAAAAGATGAAGCTGGAACTTGAACTTAAGCACTCTAGCTCCAAACTCTTAACTGACAAATCATGAATAGTGAAAACTGTTAATATTTGAAAACTGGGACACCTGGGTGGCTCAGTCAGTTAAGGGTCCAACTTTGGCTCAGGTCGTGATCTCACGTTTCGTGGGTGCGAGCCCCGCGTCGGGCTCTGTGCTGACCGCTCAGAGCCTAGAGCCTGCTTCAGATTCTATGTCTCTCTCTCTCTCTCTCTCTGTCTCCCTGCCCCTCCCTTGCTCACACTCTGTCTCTCTCTCTCAAAAATAAACATTAAAAAAAAAAAAAAAAGGAATTAGTGAGTTTTAGATCTGAGGTCAAACCATATGCCATGCATTGTGATTACCATTTTACGTGTGTTACTTCATTATGTCATTTGTAAAATGAGGACACTGAACATTAGAAAGCTTACGTAGCTTGAAAAAGGTCACGTGGCTAGTGAAAGGTGGTGCTAGAGCTTTGATCCAAACCTAGTTTGCCTCATCATTACCAAAATGCGTTCTGGTATTTAGCTGGGGGTTGATTAAGGTACAGATGAGAGGATGAAATTTCCCTAAAAGAAAATAGATTTCAAGTGGAAACCCTCCAAGGACAACACTAGTTGGTTACAGGACAGGGCAAGGGCTGGGAAGACAAGCCTACTTTGTGCATAAATGCTAGCCTTGGAAATTGAGATCTGTGTTCTAGAAAAAGGTAACCTTATATGCCAGTCTTCGTTTCATCATGAACCAATCCTACGGTTGGCAACTTATTGCGAAGCAAATACTTATTTTTAGGTGCTCTAAACTGTGAAGGAAGACAGCTATAAAGTGTAGCCCTGCCTTCTTTTTTAGCTTTTACTCTCTCATTGTTTGAATTTACTCTCCTTGCATGGGTAAACTGCTTCTCTTCCCCCTGTCTTACAAATTAGTTGGCACTGGGTTCACCCTCAGTAACTCTCAAGAGTAGCCAGCAATTACACACCCAAGAAAAACAGATTTAGATACTGTTTCAACACCAAGGGAAATTCTGTGGGTGAAGAAGAGAAAAATATTAGAGAAAATATCAGAACTGTACAGAAGCGTATGCCTGAAGCCATAGCAATTCTTTCTAATTCTTAAAGTTTTGTGACTTGAAGGGTTTTATATCAGAGAAACGCAAACAGAAAACAGTTGGGTGATTACAGTGGAAATAGTACAAAACTTCTAAATTTATCTAAGAGATAATTTTTTATAAAGTGGAAAAGCACCTAAAATGGTCCTTAAGGAGAATAAAGGTAATCCTCGAAGCCCTTTGCTGCCCTACTCTCACAGTCCCAGCAAGAATGAGGTTTATATATTGATACAGTCAAGAAATGACACTTGATGTCAGAGTAATGTACCCTGTGAGAAGTCAGTGTGGGAATGGATGTCAACCCTACCATCAAGGAGCTCACAGTTTGATAAGACGTGAGGGGTTTTTCCCCCCTTTCCTAAACAGTTACAGTTGACTGCATTAGACTGGGAAGGCAACTTCGAAGAATAAGATTAGGAACTAGTTCTGAGCATAAAAGAAAAAGCAAAGCCAGTGGTACTTTAATTAAATGGAATCACCTAATTTGCAAGAAAGATACAGAAGGAAAAACAGAACAGAGAAATAATTGAGCACTTTAGCAAACTAATGTATAATCTTCGTTACCCTCATCTGCACTCTAAGTACCTTCATTATTATAGGGTTTGACTGTATTCTAGGTCAGTAGTTCCCAACTGTGCATAACCATGAAGGATAGCAGATGTCCTTCTGACTCTTCAGGAAAATGAATGTTTACATATGAATGAGAGCATCTCCACAGCAATAAATCTGACTCAGGAGTAAGAGCCATTGCTGTGAATTATGTATTCAATAACATACATGACCACACTCAACAAACTGTAATCTGTCCACTGGAGTATAAAAAGATATACTGTATATTGCTAAATAAACAGAGATACACAGTCTATCAAGTTTGTACCACTTGGTCATAGAAGTGTGTATCCTATGTCTGTATCACCCAACTCTTTAACCACACAGATTATGTGGTTAATATTCAGAGGAAGAAGAAATAAGGAACTCTCATGCAAGCAATTTTTTAGAAGTAGTCCTTCAAATTTACCTGGGTCCTACAGACAGATGCAGAGTACGATCTGAACATGTCCACAAGGCCAGAGGCACACACGCACCTCCTCTTAGGCACACATTTCCCTACGCTTTACATGTAAATAAACTGGTAGAAAACAAAGTCTACAGCTGAGCAGGGCAAGCTTATGGAGGAGGAGAAACTGATGACTGAAAAATATATGAGTATTTGACAGAGAACACATAAAAATGAGGGGTGAGAAGACAGAAAAACAATAGTGTGTGAGGTAATGACCAAAAGATATGAAGGTTATCTTATTTCTAAGTGGGAAAATCAGGTCACATAATGGAGATTGTGCATTATATAGATTATACAGCAGTAAATCCTAGAGAGGAAAAATAAGATCAAATGCAAATTTGAGATACGTAGGCTAAATAAAGGCTCAGAGATCACTTCTGTTTTGTCGCTGCTTAAATAATGAGTGACCAAGTCACACAGTATCTAACTGCTCAGTTCCTCACTTCTAAGTGAAAAGATAATTAACACAAATAATGGAGTTATCCTTTTTTTTTTTTTGCTTTAATAAACTATTAAATAAAAATCACGTTTCTATCTCCCACTTAAGATAAATATTAATCATGCAAATGCTTAGCACTAAGCGCTCAACCCTCTTCTCTTCACATTTATCTTTAGAAATATTTTGGTACTCTTTGAAGTCTACCTGCAATATGTCGCTCTGCAGAGATAATGACAAAATTACTCAGTTTTCTTAAAATTCCAACTCTACCAGTTGAAACTCTTGGTATCTACAGTGTACAACTCTCTTCTCACGGAGCACTCACCAAAGACTTCTTAAATTCTTTGTTAATTACTTCTGTGAACATGTGGGTTAAAGTAAAGTTCTAGAGGAATAATCAATTTGGCATATTAAGTTAGGCATTTTAATATACCCCTGGATTTGACAAGCCTTCTTAATCAAATTATTAGAAAGCCATAAACCTCAAATAAATCAACTCAGGCCTTCACAGAAGCAATTTAACAAAATCACGATCTACATATGCCTACAACTTTCTTCAGGGTTGAAATAAGAGCCCTATGAAGACCAATTCTATGTTTTGCAAAATTGCTACAAAAAAATTATCATGCCATTTAAAATTGCTTTTTCATTAAGAACCACATTATATATTCCTCTTAGTGCTTGTAAAATACTAGTAAAAAGTTTTTTCTCTAATTAACTGGCATTTTTCCTTTTTACCAAATAATATAGATATTATGCCAGTTTCTCATTTTCTTGGGTTGAGAAAAAATTCTGAGCTAAGTCTTGTTCTCAAGTAGTTCTTCACACTTTGATACTTATTAAACCATGTTCTACTTCATTTGTGTCATTACTGTTTCATTACTTCAAATGCTTCTCAGAAATAGGAAGAGTACATATTAATAAATGTAACTGTCAATAACAATTTGTATGATTTGATTAGACCTTATATTCCTTAGTAAACTTATTACGTATGCCCAGATCTAACTTGAGCAAGACGGTTATACTACTTAACAGAGTGCATAAACTTCTTATCTTGAAAAACTGACTTAAAAGTAAATGGAATACTTCATATCTAGTAAGAATAGGAATGGTTCATGGAGTATCTGCTCAGAAATAAAGTTTGAAAAAGGTAGTTTTCTAAGGAACCATTCCGCCCCACTTTTCTATTTGACCCTAGTTTCTAAGATGCAGTGTGGTTTTTCTAAAACACTGCATCCCCACAAAGAACAGAAAACTGAAGTATTAGTCATTCTGAAGCACTAATACAGGAATTATGCATTACAGATTTACAAATTTCCTCATGAGTCATAGGCATGGGTTATTTAGGAATGCAATCATTTATCCTGTTATAATTTGAAGAGTAGATGAAAACAGATGTACCAGCTAAATAAACCATTAATTCCTTTTTGAGAAGGACTAAAAACTAGAAGCTAAATCAAGGATACTTAATGTGATAAATTTTTAACAATTCATATATGTAAATCACAAATGACAGATGTCTTGGTTATTTTAAGAGATGTTGAATACAATTGTACTATCATTATCTAAGTTAGGACAGGCCTGCTTCCAAATTTACCTGATGAGAGATGGAAGGTTGCTGGATGGGCCCCTGCATTCTAGGGTTTGGTAAACCCACAGGTGCTGGCCTCCGTTGCACCTGTTGCCTCTGAGCCATTACCTGTTGCTGCATATGCTGGAGTCGTAATTGAGCTAGGCTGATCTGTGTTGGAAACTTGGATAACTGGTTTGAAGATAAACCACCTGGTGGCTGTGAATTCTGTTCCACGACAGGATTCTGCTTAGGCATTTGTGGCTGGCTCTCTTTATCTTCAATTACTAAAGAACCTAATTAAAGAGAAAAAGTTAAGTTCTAAAGTTTTTCTGAAAGTGAAATAGCATATTTCATAAGGCTCTTTTTGCTGAACTTCAAATTGCCAAGAAACTTTTTCATCTCAGGAACGCTTTACACTCTTAGAAATCAAAGGTCACAAAGAGCTTTTGTTTACATAAGTTCTATCTATCAAATTTTCACATTTTAGAAACTATTAAAAACATTTTTTAGTTATTAACTCATTTAAAAATAACAAGCCCACAGTAACACATTTTTATGAAAAAATAACTTCACAAAAATTAATGAAGATTTACATTGTTTTAAGTTTTTAAAATCTTCACATGTCTGGTCTAAGAGCCGAACTCTCCAATTTGTTTCTGTATTGTCTGTCATTATATGTTGTTTGGGTTGAAATTTATGAAGAAAATGCAGCCACACATAGACATGTAGTTGGGAAAAGTCCCATAAAGGAGTCCCACACAATATTTTGAGAACTGCTCTTGTATATCAAAATAAAACAAGTCAATCTGACGTTGGTTCTAAAAATCCCACAATGTATTTGATTCTTTAGAATGAACAATTTGTAATCTCTCAAGTTCCTTATACCTTCACGGCTCATACTACGTCAGCTCTCAGACAGAGAATACTGTGGCTCACAACTACACTTTTAGAATTTAAAGGTGCCTCTAGTAGGTCTGATTACAGCATAAGGCAAAGCTTGACTTCTTCAACAGACTCAATTTCTGATTCATTAAGCATAAACATCCTAAAAAAATATGGTCATCATTCATTAAATACTCATTGCATGTTAGGTAATGTGATAGTAGGTCTATGTATATTCTTGTCCTTTTTACAGATAAGGGATCTAAGGCTCAGAGAGATTGAGTAAATTACCCAAACTCACCGAGACATTAACTGAATGTTGACATAGATCAATATTTTCCCTCTGTATTCTTCTAGAAGACATTTCTCAGAAGCCACGGATAACACCAAGTCTGGGAAACCTGAATCCTTCTTAGAATATTTAAAATGTAAATCTCATTGTAAATGGTAATTTACACAGCTGTAAGTGATGGCTCTGAGAAGTCTTACCGTAAAGGATATTGTTTAACCTTATTATAGGAATTTCACAAATAGGAGATGCTGTTTTTATTTTGTTTTTGCTGATGCAGACATACCTAAAACTATATACATTTATGTATATAGTTACACATTTTACTTATGTCTACATCACGAGGTTTATGCTGTAAGTTATATGCTTGTAATTACATGTATTTCTGTACATGACTACTTGTATAGATATATAACTTGTGATTCATATCTTCTGTATAGCTGAATCTGTGGTGGTTTGGTGAGGTAGGTAAGAGATAGTTACTTAGAAACACACTTTGTATTAAGATGCTGCTTTTTAGTAAGACAGGTCAGAGTGTGTGTGATTCCAGCTGCCTGCTACCTATCAATAAATACATTGCTGCACGCACTTCAAAACTGAGCTACAGGGGTTAACTTATCACTATCCTTTTTGTTCTTTTGTATGGATGCGATCTGTGTAAGCTTATTGCTTCCTTTCTTGATGTGTTAGGAGAGCACTGGCTCTCTCCAGCCATTTCTTCCTTTCCTACCTAGAATCGAGCTGAGGGTATGAGAGACCAAACATCTGTGATGATTTTGAAACATAGTCTGTGAGCCCAAAAAACTGTCATCAAAGGGAATATACTGATGGCTGATGAAGAATGTACAGGGAATTCTTAAATTTCTGTTTCTATAGTTTCCATGTGAGAAATTAAGAAGAAAGGCAAAAAGTGAAGACTTTTTCTACTATTTGAGTTCCTAATCTTCCCAAAATGACAGTCTCCCTCTGTGATAATTTGGTGGGCTCTAATACTAAAAACTGGGGCACTTTTCTGTGTGCATGTTACATTTCAATTAGGAAGTTTAAAAATACAGTTATTTCAGGGCGCCCGGGTGGCTCAGTGAGTTGAGCGACTGACTTCGGTTCAGGTCATGATCTCACAGCTCATGAGTTCGAGCCCCGTGTCGGGCTCTGTGCTGACAGCTCGGAGCCTGGAGCCTGCTTCGGCTTCTGTGTCTCTCTCTCTCTCTCTCTCTGCCCCTCCCCCCTCGCGTTCTGTCTCTGTCTCTCTCAAAAATAATTAAACATTAAAAAACAATGTAAAAAAAATATACAGTTATTATATAAAAGGTGGAATAAAAGATGAGAAGTCTTCCCTAGCAAGATCAAGCAAATGAACCTTTAGGTGCTCCATGACTGGGTATAAGAAGTAAGCCAATATGAGAAATACTATCTTAACAGAACACATTCCACATAACAAAAATCCTGTATCAATGGCAGTTATGAGTCAGAAGTTTTATTACCCCATTGTGATAAATCTATAGTTAACAGTAAAAGCAATATTCTATGGAAAAAAGAACTTCTAAATTCCCAAGTCTAGACATCCTGTGAGTCAATATTAAGGATGTTTCATATTATCCATTTATTTACATATGTGTATTTATACTCAGGCATGTGTTACACAGATACACACGTTAATAAAATACTGGCAAAAATTCCATGTCTTTAAAATAAGGTAATAAAAACACTTTGATAGCATTATCATAATCATTAAGAGCTCCAGAAACAAATGGCACTTTGAGGAAACGGACATAATGGCCTACCTAAATTGATAATATTTTGAGCCCAGAAACTAGGATCACAGTGAAACTGGATGGTATTGTTGGTCACTGGGGAAGCATCACACCTTGCTCGAAGGAGGTGCCGTAACCGGTATGTAATCTAGGAGAAAGGAGAGACAACTAAACATCAGTATCTTTCATCAGGCAAATAATTTATTAAGTTCCCAGGGAATGCACAAAAAAAGTCATTTCTGGTATGTATGCTGATACAAAACAGGTAATCATATAGAAGCTATAAAATATGGATACACAACATGGTTTTCTTTCTAAAACGTTACGTTTTGAAGTATAATTTAGTTACCTATACTGTTGAATACAAAACTGAAAAGTATCTTCAAGTGATACGTTAAAGTGAGTTTTTTTTAATTAATAAAAGTTTAGAGAAGCACCAACTAAATATCTGTAAAATAAACTTTAACATATTTTGCTCTTTTATTATACTTATGCTTTTAAAGAAAGTTTCAGGATTTGGATTAAGGGGCTAAGGAGTTATGGAAAATACAGATTAATCTGTGCTCAGGAGATGTAAGTACAGCTCACATCTAGGCTGCTAGTGGGATGGCTCCCCTTGCTCCTATGTTTTGAATCTCATGTCATTACACCACACCACCCACCTCCTTCCACCCTGTAGTCCTCAGTGAACACTTGGACCTTCTCTCTCAGCCCTTGAAGAATTTAGCTCCTGGCTCACTATCACCATCTCCAACATCACTCATCATAATTCTTCATGATTTTAATATCCAACCAGCTGATCCTTCTTTGTAGCTCACTTCCTCTGGTGCCCAGGTACCCATTATCCTATAAACCTTAAAGGCCCTATAAGCCTTTGCTCTTATAATTTTTCCATGTCCTTCAATCTCACATTACCATTATCCTTACCCAGCTTAAACCCCAGGGTCAAGCACCATAATCATCTCCTTGCACATACCCTCAATACCTGTTTTTCTCACATACTCCATCAAATATACTCCCATCTCTCTCCTCAACCTTTGTCACCAAAAAAAACAAAACAAGCAGCCCTGGTTAAATCCAGCTTTTGCCTAAATATAGCTGGACTGAGAAAGGGAATGATCACTTCAGACACATGACAATTTACTTCCGGTATGCCCCTAAGGGTGACTGGCTAGCATGTGACATTCTTTTGGTACTTTACTTCCCTGCTCTCCTAAGTAACTGTTCAACTTTTCTTCTCAAATCTCTAGCACCCTTCCTCCCCCATTGTCAATCTCAGCTGATGATTTTGCTTCCAACTTTACTGAGAAAGCAGGAACAATCAGGGACCTTCTACAAATTCCCACCACTTGTGAGTATTAGTGTTCCCTCCAGTTGCAATGTTTCTAGAGCAGTCCTTCCACTTGTGCAACAGCACCCAACCCTTCTTGCCTACTCACAGACACTGCTCAGCAACTTTCTTCCCTCTCCTGTATCACCTAGGCTTCCCTTTTACTGGATCACTCCCATCGACAGAGAAATGTTTTAACTTTTCCCAGCTAAAAACAAAACTCTTGGCTCTTTTTCTCTTGCCGTCAACTGCCCCATTTCCCTGCTTTTTACAGCAAACTCTTGAAAAACTCATCTATTTTTACTGTGCCCTGTTCCTCTCCTCCCATTCTTTTCTGAAACCACTCCTTCACTTGGCTTTCAGCATACTATACCCTCATGGTTTTATCTTTATTTTACCAGCTGCTACTTTTGGGGGCCACTGAGAACAGGTTTGGGCTCCAATGCACCATCGAAGCCTCTACTGTTGGTTCTTTCAACTGAGCCCCAGGGCTCAGTCTTTCAACTGCTCTCATTTCTCCTCTACCCACAGTTTCAGTGATCTCATATGGTCTCATAGTTTAAATGACTTCTTAATTTGTATCTCAAGTCTAGATCTCTCTTTTGAACTTGCATTTCCAACTAGTTACTCAACATCTCCACCTGGTTGTCTAATAGGCACCTCAAATTTAATCTGTTTAAAAGAGAATTTGTGATCTTTCTACACAAGTCTACTTGTCCTATAATCTTAGCCTTGTCCATTACTGTCAACACTATTTTTCCCACAGCTTAGTCCTTGGTTCCTTTCTTTTTCTCATGCCCTACATTCAACCTGTTAGCAAAATCCTACTGGTTCTAGCCTTAAAAGATATGGATAACCCTACCCATTTTCCCATCAACTCTATTATTTATTATTATTATTATTATTTCAGTTTATTTATTTTGAGAGGGAGAGACAAGAGGAGAGGCGAGGCAGAGAGAGAGAGAGAGAGAGAATGAATCCTAAGCAGACTCCACACTGTCAGTGCAGAACCGGATGCGGGGCTCAAACCCAAGAACCGTGAGATAATGACCTGAGCTGAAATCAAGAGTCGGATGCTTAAGTGACTGAGCCACCCAGGCACCCCTCTCATCACCTCTATTAATTCTCCTGCTATCACTTTGCAAAAGTTACCTTACTGCAGTAAGTAAGGCTCTAACTGGTCTCCCTTATAGCTCCCTTGCCCTCAACTACCTATAGTCTGTTCTCAATAGCTACAGTGATTGTTAAAATATAAATCATATTCTGTCTTCCTTCTCAAGTCCCTCTCTCCAGCAGTTCCTCATCTGAGATTAAAAACCAAAGTCCTCATAATGAACTACAAGGCTTGTGCTATCTGACTGCACGACCTTACTCATACTACTTTCTGATCCTTCACTCTGTTCCAGCCCCTCATGCCTCTTTATGTCCATATCACAAAAACCACCACCTCCGTCTTTGTATCTGCTGTGTTGCTTCGCCAGAACAGACTTCCCCCAAATATCTGCAGGAATTACTTCTTCACTTTTCTTTAGTATTTGCTCAAATATCACCCTCTTTAGATAGACCAACTTATCTTAAATTACCACCTGCACTCCAGTGTTCCCAGACTCCCTTTCTTAATTTTCTCTAGAGCACTTAATATATACCAGGTAATAGTTCTATATTTTACTTATTTTGGTACTGTCTCTCTCCACTAAATGTGACTCTTTTTTTTTTTTTTTTTTTTTTCAACATTTATTTTTGGGACAGAGAGAGACAGAGCATGAACGGGGGAGGGGCAAAGAGAGAGGGAGACACAGAATCCGAAGCGGGCTCCAGGCTCTGAGCCATCAGCCCAGAGCCTGACGCGGGGCTCGAACTCACGGACCGCGAGATCGTGACCTGGCTGAAGTCGGACGCTTAACCGACTGCGCCACCCAGGCGCCCCTAAATCTGACTCTTAAAGGGCAAAGATTTTATTTTGTTCTCTGTTCTCCCAGTGCTTAGAATGCTGCCTGATAAATATAGCAGGTATTCAGTAAATAATTGTTGAATACATAATTTGCTTTAGTTGCTAAATTATTTTCAATAGCTCTAATAAATTGTGAGTAAAAAACCATCGAACTATTTTGGGACTAAGTAGAATACATGGCACAGTGTGTAGCTAACAGCACTCAACACAATGCTCTTCTCCCTACGTTTTTCTGTCTTAATTTTTTGTGTCCTCTAACAGTTCTCACCGTAAAAGATGTTCCTACAAAGCCGACCAAAACAATCATTCCAAGAACTTTCCTTTGTAAATATACTCCTGTTTTATCATTTCCAAAAATTTGTTCATTTTGAAATAATTTTTAAATTGTAGAAAAGTGAAAAGAACCCTTCACCCAGATTTCCCAACGGCTGCTGTATTAACACACTTCTTCCAGTGCCTCCCCAACTGCTTTTGCACATACACTATTGCTACTAGTCTTTTTCTGAACCTTTTGACAGCAAGTTGCAGACATGAGGTTCTGTCTACCCTAAACACTCTGGCGAGTGCACCTTAAAACAAAGATCGTCTAGCATAAAGAGCAAATTCCAAATTCCGAAACCAAGTCTGACAACACTGCCATCCAATCCAAAGACCTCATTCAAATGCCAACTCTGCCCACAGTGTCGCTTGCTAGGATACTGTTAAGGAATACAGGTTGCATTTGGATGCCATGTCCCTTCAGTTCCTTAGGCTTTCCCTGTCATTTATGTCCTTGATGGCTTTAAAGAGTTCAAGAACTTATATTCTAGAAGAGCGCCTTCAACCCGGGTCTGAGTGCAGTTCCTCTTGATCAGACTTGGTAAAAGCATCCTTGTCAGGAATCCCACACTAATGATAATATAATGTGCACTTCTTAGCACATGAGATCAGGAAGCTCAGGATGGCAGCCTGTCCCACCACAAGTGCTGATACGAATCTTCATCGCCTGACAATTTTGCTCCCCAGGTTCCCCACCTTGAATTCACTCGATTTCCCCATTTGTAAATGCTTAGTATTTTGCAAAGAGGTATTATAGCATTACACTGAAATCCTGTTCTATCAATTCTCTACCCAGCAGATTAGCATACACTGATGACTCCTTCTTAATGACCACTACGACAGTGACCATATGTACTATCCTTTCTACGTTTATTGATTTACACTGTGACATAAAATTTTCTTTATCATTTAGATAAAATGGTTAAATCAGAAATGCGAACACTTTCTTAAAAGAAAATCAGCTCTAATAAAAGGGAACTGTGAGGTCAATACTTGGATATACTTTTTTCTCCCCTTGAGATACTATGCTGTAGATGAGAAGCCGGAAGATGCAATTTATTTACAACTCCGATAGCTAGTATCTATTTACTATTAATTTGTACCAAGGTCTAAAAGTAGTATCAAACTTGGCCAAACTCTGTTCCTTAAGTAACATTTTTTCCTGATGTATTTTACTGTCATTCAATGTAAATATAAGAGCTCTTTTACTGTCAAATTATTTTATTACCCATCTAAAATGTAAACCTTGTCAAAACTCCTGACGCACGTTTTAGTTATTTCTGAGAAGTGATAAGGCATGACTAGTATAGAGGGTAATGGTTCATTAAATATACACACTTGTTAATCTCTCCAGATGTATCTGAACTTAAATGAACTCAGGTTTTACACTGAAACCTTAGCTACTGTTCAAAAAGCAACAGACAAAACTTTTTTTTAAATATGAAAGGTATCGGGGCGCCTGGGTGGCGCAGTCGGTTGAGCCTCCGACTTCAGCCAGGTCACGATCTCGCAGTCCGTGAGTTCGAGCCCCGCGTCAGGCTCTGGGCTGATGGCTCAGAGCCTGGAGCCTGTTTCCGATTCTGTGTCTCCCACTCTCTCTCTGCCCCTCCCCCGTTCATGCTCTGTCTCTCTCTGTCCCAAAAATAAATAAACGTTGAAAAAAAAATTAAAAAAAAATATGAAAGGTATCAAAACAGCTTTCAAGATAGCAATACTATTTACTGTCTCCTTTCTAATGAAGTTAAAATAAACTTAAAGAAGAAATTTAGTATTTGATTTTCCAATCCTATAAAAATGAACAGGCGGTTTTGTCTATACTTAGAGCTTCTGAAAGAAGACATTATCTTGTACCTGATTTTTTTTTACCATCAATCTTTCGTTGAATTCCTATGCATCAAGCACTGAGTAACACAAAATTCCTACTTTAAGAAGTGTAGAGTCTAATGAGATTCATAGAAACATATGCAAATATAATAGCAGATAAAAATCAGTAATAGTATGATGGACATATGCACAAAGGGTGTGTAAACACAAGAAAGAGAAACCCAATCCAGTCTTGGTCATGAAAGGCTGACAAGTGGAAAGGAAGACCAATCTAATCTGAAGCAGGTAGTCTTTAAAAAGATGGACATTATTCAGGAGCAAGAAGAGGCAGGAAAGGGTACTAGTACTCAGGCAAGAAAGAATCATATCCTGTGAGCACCAAAGATTAGAAATAAGGAGATGGCAATGAGGCATTCAGGAATACACAAAGAAGGTCACTGAAGATTAATTAGATGGGAGAAGGGAAAAAAGGAGAAAAGAATTCCTTTTTACTACTTATAACTTAATAGTTTGCTAATTGCTAGTATTATAGAAATATTTATGGAGAGTAAAAAGAATGATAGTGTTTTACTCTCCTGGCCTTCCTTCTAAATAATAAAGGATAAATTCAGTGTTAACAGGTTGACAGAAGAGTTCTGAGGAAATACTGTGAAACTGTTTCAAAATATATTTAACACTAGACTTCTGGAAAGATTTTGCTCTTCCATTGATTTTTGTCTTTTCTTGACCACAGTTCCTATAGCAAAAAGTGAACTAAGAATTGCAAGCCAAGCTTGAAATTTCAGGCCTGCAAGGCATTTCTTCCTATTTTTTTAAGCACATGAAAGCCATCATTTAAAGGATAACTTGAGTAAACATGGCTACATGTACCATGCAGAAAAACTATGAGGAACGGAGTTATAGAATATAGTAATTTTCAAATTTTTTGAGGTTGGAGATCCTTGTAAGTGTTTACAAATAAGTATAAGCCTCAGCTCAGTGTGCATTGCAGGCAAATTATTTTATTAGCTACATACATTTGCGACTCAAGGGCCACTTGGGTTCCACAGACTTTTAAAAATCAGAAAAGAGGGGTGCCTGGGTGGCGCAGTCGGTTAAGTGTCCGACTTCAGCCAGGTCACGATCTCGCGGTCCGTGAGTTCGAGCCCCGCGTCGGGCTCTGGGCTGATGGCTCAGAGCCTGGAGCCTGTTTCCGATTCTGTGTCTCCCTCTCTCTCTGCCCCTCCCCCGTTCACGCTCTGTCTCTCTCTGTCCCAAAAATAAATAAAAACGTTGAAAAAAAAATTAAAAATCAGAAAGGAAATGATTTGGCGAATCAGGTATCTAATAATACTGGTTCCTTGTAATTTGCTGTACCCATTTTCTCCTATATAATGTCAACAACATTCTTCCTTTCTCCTATGTCACGAGATCATTGTGCTGATTAAGTAATCCCACCTGTTTTTATTGTTTTCTTTTATTATAATTGCAAATAAAATCATAAAATAAAATTAGAGAAATTTTTAGACAGAGATTTACTAAGTATCTGACTGTATGAATAATATGCTTTCTTACACAATACCGTAATATTCAATATTCATAACTTTTCATTCATAATTGAAAAAAGAATTGTTTCATTTTCTATTTTTATTCTTTTTCTGTTGGACATTCAGAAAAATATCTAGGAAAACAGAAAAGATATGTACTATCTAGAAGCTATTTTTCAAAAGACCAATAAAGCAGTTGGAAGAAAGAAAGAAAAAAAAGAAAGAAAGAAGTCAAGAAAAAATGTATCACTGAAATATTAAGAAAGAAAAAAAAGTCCAAGAGTTGAATACAATTCATGATTAGGAATAGTTTTAGAAATAGTTATAAATTAATTTTTTTTTAACAAGTCTTCAACTCAATATTTGAACCTAGTCTATAAAAGTTTATCCAGAAGTACATTTCCTTATTTCAAAATGGTCATAGAAAAATTTTGCTACCTGATTCTAAAAACAGAATAGGTGAACAGAAAACTGATTTGGAAGTCCTAACTTGATTTCAAAGGGTAACTCTCTGTGTAATCTTTTTTGTTTAAAAAAAAAACAATTTTTTTTTTATGTTTATTCATTTCCTGTGAGAGATAGAGTGCAAGCAGGGGAGGGGCAGAGAGACAGGCTCTAGGCTCCAAGTTGTTGGCACAAAGCCCCACATGGGGCTCGAACTCACCAAAACGGGAGATCGTGACTTGAGCTGAAGTTGGACGCTTAACTGACTGAGCCACCCAGGTGCCCCGAATATATTTTTTAAATGTCTTCTTAATTTTTTTTATGTTTTATTTTTTCTTATTTTTGAGAGAGAGAGAGAGAGAGAGACAGAGTACGAGTGGGGGAGAGAGAGTTAGAGACAGAGGGAGACAAACAATCTGAAGCAGGCTCCAGGCTCTGAGCTGTCAGCACAGAGCCTGACGGGGGCCTTGAACCCACAAACTGTGAGACGGTGACTTGAGCTCAAGTTGTAGATGCTTAATTGACTGAACCACCCAGGCACCCCATTTTTTTAATGTTTATTTATTTTTGAGAGTGAGAAATAGAGAGTGCATGCACAGAGGACAGACAGAGGGAGTGGGAGAGAGGATCCAAAGTGGGCTCTGTGCTGATGGCAACAAGTCCAATGCAAGGCTTGAACTCATGAACCTTGAGATTATGACCTGAGCCCAAGTCAGACGCTCAACCTACTGAGCCACCCATGCACCCCCATTGTGAAATCTTTAATAAAATGAAGGTAAGGCAGCAATTTTTAAGAATGCAGACCAGTGGCACCAGCATCTCCTGGGAGCTTGTAAGAAATACAGAATCTAGCTCTACTCCACAACTATTAATCCAGAATCCTCAGGTGATTACTAGCGTGCAGTGATGAAGTATTTTCAGTAGCAAGGTTCTTTCTAGACTACTACCACAATTGTTCATCATGACACAGCCACTTTTCTTTAACAAATGGGGTTGAGATATCCAGCACCATTTATGGCCGCCAGAGTTATCAACGTGCTGCCGACAAGAGGAACACAGCTTCTAAGCGCAGTGTCCAAGACGGAATTCTGGTTGATACCTCTGTGTGACCTTACAAATGTCACTTAACTTTGTGCCTTCATCATCCATACAAAAAAGATGGATAGGTATACCTATCTTATAAAAATGATGCCTAAGTTTAAGTGAACTATTACATAGAAAATACTTAGAATTAGCACCTGGCACACTACAGGTGATCAGGAAATATTTATTATTATCATTACTGTTAGTGTTAAGTTCGATTGCCACTGAGAGAAAACCTGGCAAAGAACCAGACAGGAAGGACAGTGGTGGATTAGAATACACCTAAACCATGGCAGTTAAATATACTTTTTAAAACCAAAATATTTTGATCACTTAAAATTAGAAATAGGTAAGGGCACTTAAGTACAAATAGACTAATGACCATTTCTGAATTTTAAGTATTCCAGTGACTCCCATCATTTCTCTGCTTTTTGATGGTATGTTCCATGCCATACTTAGCTATCTTACCAGTCGCTTGCTATAAAGTAATGCTGTGCTGCTGCCACTGGAAACTGCCCATTTAGAAAAATGCATGACATGTTCCAATTGTTTAGAAAGTCCAGCCACTTCCTGTTGTTGTTGCATAAGTTTCATGCGATGGTCCTTTGCAAGGCTCTGAAAAAGAAGAAAATTCAAAATTAGTCCCGCATATAACATATTTTAATGGTCATTTTCAGATTACCAAATTAGAGTAACTGTCACCTCTGAGAAGCCAAGCGATAGAAACTTGAATTTTCATAAGAAATATTCTTAGTGTTCTTCCTCTTAGTATAAAAGGATCAATCTCACTGCCACAAAAACTGTGCCCCAAACAACGCAGCTTCTGCTGTTGCCACCACTGCCTCTGCACCCTTTACCCTCCACACCAGGCCCTTGGTCTAGTTTTACATATTCTGGAATTTAGGTCGGTGTTCATGCATCTTCCAATATTCAAAAAGGGGCAAAAACCATGGATTGGCTATGATACAGTCAGTCAATGCCTATTAAATTCAACACTCACAAATAAAATTCAATACTCATAAATAAAATTCAATACCCAAAATTAAAACTCAATACTCACAAATACAATAAAAATAAAATCCAATCTAATAAAGTTATCAGATCACATGTTGTGCAATCACATGATTTCACGTTTTAGGCATTCTAGTCCTGATTGCAACCAGTTTTGTGCCCAGTCACACCATGTGGTAGACAACACTTAAACTTTTTGTGTGTTTTTTTTTGTTTTTTGAGAGAGAGACAGAAGTGGGCAGGGGGAGAGGGGGAGAGAGAGGGGGAGAGGGAGGAAGGGTGCACACACACAAGGGAGGGGCAGAGAGACAGAATGAATCCCAAGCAGACTCCATGTGCAGCACAGAGCTGATGTAGGGCTTGATCTCACAAACCGGGACATCATGACCTGAGTGGAAATCAAGAGCTGGACCCTTAACTGACTGAGCCACCCAGGCACTACTTTATCTTCATTTTTTGAAAAACTCTCCAAGAGATTCTGATTTACAGCGGAGTCTGGAAAGAGCCACAGCAATGCACGCACTAGTAATCTCTGAGAAAGCCAATCTAAGTGATGCTTGATTTTAAACAGAGCTTGGAAAATGTTTTAAATTCTTTGTTTCTATTAAAAAAAAAAAAAAAGAGGGGTGCCTGGGTGGTTCAGTCAGTTGAGCATCCAACTTCAGCTCCTGTCATGATCTCACGGTTCCTGAGTTTGAGCCCTGCAAGGGGCTCTAGGCTGACAGCTCAGAGCCTGGGCTGTGTCTCCTCTCTGCCCCTCCCTCGCTCACACTCTGTCTCTTTCTCTCAAAAATAAACAAACATTAAAAAATTAAAAAAAAAAAAAAAGAAATCACAGAATCTTGAAAAAATACTATAAATGAGGTCTCCTGGACAGAATACTTCTTCACTAAATAAGACAAGTCTTTAGTCTTTGTTTCCTGTATGGCTGATGAGCCACGGGAATGACCATGCTTTCCCAGGAGGGCAGGACTCTCTGAGAAAGACCTTACAATTTTGTCAACTACAAAATAAAGAGGTTAAACCAAATTATTCTAGGAGTTATTTTTTTTAAATCCTTAAACATCAGAATTCTTTCATTCTCTTCTCATTCTAAATTGCTTCTTTACTGTGAATTCTTTTTGCACCATTAAAAGAATACTAAAATACCATGCAATTAATATTATGTTACTATGGAGAAGTTGTAATCTATTATTATTTGGAGGCAAACACTGACTTTGGATCTAGACCTTCAGGAGTATAAAAAAACTCATAAAGAGCCCAATATTTTTCTCACCGTGGTGAGAAACAACTATCCTAAGTGCCCTGAGTATCCTTCCCTACATACTGCTTTCACAGAGGATTAAGACTAAAATGTTGAGAGTGGAAGGCATACCCTTTTACTTAATTTCTCATAGGGTTAAACCGTTATGTTTGAAAACAAAATATAGCTTAATTATCTTTCTAAATCTTTTTTGCTCGATTGCACCCCTTTGGTGGCCCCAAGTTGTCACTTGAATGAATCTAAAATGATTAATCTCTTCAACATTTACAGAGCTCCTTCAAGCAAGGCACTGTGCTTTGTGCTATCGAGGAAACACTAAGCCATAAACTGTCAGCTACAATGTAGAATATGTAAATGAAAACTTAGGAATGGAGAAGCAATATTATTCAATCATAAATGGATGAAAAAGTCTGTGATTTCAAAGTCACAAATACATGAGAAACTACTATATTAAATCGCTACAAACATACTGTCCCATCAACAGTAACTTACCTCAAGCTGATGCAGTAGGGCTTTTCCTTTTTTATTTATTTCTACCATCAATGTAAATATAGCAACTTTAATATCCTGCTCCACCTGCTTTTGATTTTGATTTACTTCAATTATCCTGAAAATTAAATGAAAGGGGGAAAAATCTAAACTCTAAGGCAGAAGATTTGTTTTATAATATTTAAAATTGATTTTCTAATGTCTAAATTAGGCCAAAATGTTTTCAATTCTTAAAAGCTCAGCTGTTTCTAAGGGTCCTTCAGTGTAAATTGACTTTCTCGAAGATGACATAGCAGAAATGTAATTCTTCTGAAAAACACAGTCACTTAATTCAATCTTAAAATCAAAATGTATAAAATTGTAAGAGAACGAACACATTTTAAGAAAATATGACTTGGAAAGATCATGATGAAAATCATTCAAGAAAATCAATACTTGATCTAAAAGGGTAGACCAAAAAAAGGTTTATGAGCAAGAAAACCAGGACTCCAAACATGTTCGATTGTATCCACTCTAACTACCAAGTAGGAAAGTGTAAGCATGTCATTCTTAGTGATCTGAACTGCTGCAGTATTCATTATGCCCGCACAGAAGCAGAGAACAACAGTAGAGAGCTACTGTAAGAACACATCTGTCTTCAAATAAGCAGCTCAATACTACTTTATGTTTCATCAGCTATCATGTACAGTTTTTCCCTTCGTTAGAGAAGACGGGATGGCCATTGTCATGGAGATCGAGATAGATAAGAAATACACAGCATCATACCAGAATATCTTACAAAAGCAGAAGAGAATAACGGGACACCCACTAAACACTTTGAGAGAAATTGGAAGTTTGATTTCTCCAGTCTGCTTCTCCAATAGTTATCCTCCAAGACTTAAAACCAATAGGGCAGAGATTTTATTTTCTGTTGCAACTTAAGATAATCACTTGACACCAATATTGGCTATGAAAATCAAGAAACCCAGATAGATATGGGAAGAAAACAACCCTCTGAAACAAAACAAAACAAAAACTAATTTAGAATTCACATCTTCATGATGGTTAAACGGGATGAAAAAAGGACAGGCAGTGCCATTGTCTGCACACACGTGAAAACGAATTAAAACCAAAGTAAGTCCGTGTTGTAAATGTAATCCTTTTATGACAGTCTATTCAGATATGAGCAATTAGCACCTAATCCGAAGATTCTTTAATTCTCACAATTCAAAACCCCAAATCCTTTCATGCGATAATGTCTGACACTGTAAAAACAGCATAAGGAAGCCACTAACAGAAAGGTAAAAGAACAAATTTGGAGAATTCACACTATCTGGTTTGAAGACTAACTATAAAAAGCTACAGTCATGAAGAAAGTGGGGTACTGTCAAAAAAGAAAAATACAATGGAACAGAATACAGAGTTTAGAAAGAACCTTACACATACATGGTCAACTGATTCCCTACAAAGGTGCCAAGGCAATTAAATAACAATAATTTAGTCTTTTAAACAAATGGTGTTGGAACAAATGGCCATCCATAGGTTACAAAAAAGTGAACTTTGACCCATAGCTCATACCATATACATAATGAAAGAGTAAGAAGAAAGACTAAATTTCCTCAAGGGTGGAGCTTTCACATAAAATTAGTTACTTTACAATTGCTACCATTTGCCACTTACACAGTAGAATCACCTGTAACTATCTCTCTTCATCATTCTGTGAATATCCCTTACAAATTTTCAACTACTCAGATAAACTTTTAAGCCCACCACTTTATTTGGCAAAAATAGTATGGTTAGAATATGGTAAATGAAACACTATTTGGTTAATATAGTTGTTATGTAAAAGAGAAAGGTAAAATGCAATGACAGCTGATAAGGAAGACTAACAAAAACAAAAGACACACGATAGAACTGTTATCACAAAGAATAAAAATGGTCATAGTAATTACTGAAAAAGGTTAATGACAAAAATAACACATTATAATGATCGGTCTTAAGGAAGATAAACCACAAGACTTTCTCTTATGAATCCCCTGTGAGGCCTCTCTTATTCAGGCTCTTTCTAAAAAGGATTTCTTGATTTATTTGGACAGTGATATGTTACTTTTGTATGCATAACAACAAAAGAAGGGAAAATGGGATTTCATAGCTGTTGTAAAGGTTGTACTATGTCAGTGCGGGTTCCAAACAGGATGAAAAAAGGGGGGTAAGCAAAACAAACTCACTCTTCCATGTGGAGGTGAGTGGTTTGCTCCCCTAATCACTGACTTGTGAGATGTGAGACTTTGGACAGTTGAGGATTCCTCCTTCGGAAAACAAAAAGCATAACAGGTAATATGTAGAAACCGTGCAAGTATTGTTATCTGATAAGAAATTAAAGGTGCGTGAAACCGTTTAACAATCCCTGCCTCCTGGTGTCCTAAGACTTCCACCCTATTGTAGTTAAAAGGTGACAGCCCAGAGAAGGCATCTCAAAGTTGACCAATGCTTAAAAAAGCAGTTATGTATGTATAATAAAGTGTTAAAATATTTTATAATAGTGGCAAAAAGTAGCTGATTTTGTTTTTAAATCCTGGCATTTCTTTAAAATTTGAAACATCAGATAATTATAAATTATCAACACCTGCCAGATAAATGATCCATTACTCAATGCAATTTATTACCATAACAGTTTTGAAATTTCATGGCTGAAAAGAATGCTTTCCAGTTTAGTTTCCAGAAACCCAAAGTTTCTAGAAAAGTCTTACAAACTATGTTATTAGAGGCATCTGACAGCTTACTTAGATCTACTTCACCATGAGCTAAGTAAAATACCTGTTCTAAAAGAGAATATTAATATGTTATATAAATATGATTTATCATAACACCACAAATGTAAATTTACCTGTTTTGGATCTGATTTCCTGTGAATTTTATGTATTTTGTTTTTTCCATCAGTTTTGTGATTAGTGTATCTATGATCACTTTCTGATTCTGAAAAGCTTCTTCTATAAATTGGTATCTGAAAAGACAAGTAAACAAGCCAATTATTTCATGCTAATAAATCAAAAATGAGGAAAAGCATCCCCCCAAAAACTAAGATAAAAAGAGTTTAAAAGATATAAATAATACTAAATATATCCCTGGAAGGCAGGTTTTCTGCACTCTCCAAAGTGTCTCTAAGAAAAGGAGGAATCTTTACAGATATTACTCATGGATACTCTAAATTATTTTGGAAATTTGGGAAAGATACATATCTATCACTCATAGTTTAAGAGGCTTAAAGAACTCACCTGGCAGACCTGGCAAAAAGTAACCACAGATATTTAAGTAGATTTCCTTACTACTTTGTAATTTCCTAATTATTAAAGTTTGATGCTGTAAATATTTTGATGATCACTTTTCTTTAACGTTTGAGAGCACATGCGCTGGTGTGCACACACACACACATACAGAGAAAGAGAGAGGAAGAGAAAGGATCCCAAGCAGTTTCCATACTGTCAATGCAGAGCCTGACACAAGGCTCGATCTCATGAACTGTGAGATCATGACCTGAGCCAAAATCAAGAGTTGGATGGTTAACTGACTGAGCCACCAGGCACCGCTTGAAGATTACTTTTGAACATTAGGTAGTTGTGTCATAAAGGTCACAAATATATGCCTTTGGGGAAAATGGTGGGATGAGGAAAAACTCTTGATGCTATGCCTTGCATGTAACAAAGCTTCAAGCAACATAAAACACAGCACTTTAAAAACTTTAACTTGTAAATGAACATGATAATCTCTGACAAAGTACGTATGATGACTCAAGAGTAGCTCCAGGGGCACAGTAATATAGAAGACAACCAGTTTTATCAATTTTTCGTAAAATGCATAAAACACAGTATTTTACATAATGTGATTTAAAAGTGCAAGTGTACTTAAATCAGTATTATAGTGTTGCCAGCATTAGAAAAAAAGGGGAACATAGTTAATATTAATTCTGTTGGATTTTCTCTGTATTGAATGCAGTCTTTGAGACCCTAGTAATGTGTAATGTTATATGAAATGGTCAAAATGTTTGTTATCTGGTTCCTAAACTCAATTTTAAAACTTTCAATAATCTGTTATGATGTTTTCTGGTTCATTTTACAGAAAACCTTTCTCAGGTTTAGGAAATTTCCTTTTATTCTTAGTTTGCAAAGTCTTTATATCATAGGTGCATATTTTTGACAGAATGTTTCTCCTGTCTCTATTGAAATGATTATGTAATTTATCCTTTATTCTTTTAATATGAATTACATAACTGATTTTCAAATGTTACATGAACTCTGTATACCTAAAACAAGGCCAACTTGGTTGTAATTATATTGTCCAAAAATCACATTACTACTGGATTTGGTTTCCTATTTCTTAGAATTTTCACATTCATTTCATGGGTGAGACTAGTCCGTGATTTTCTATTTTTATTCCTCATAAAACAAGTTGGAGAGAATTCATTCTTTTATTGTCCTCTGGATGAGATTGTGTGTATTTAAAAGGTGTTATTTTTATCTCACTATTTTGTTGATTCATCAATGAAGTCATCTGGGCCTGTAGTTTCCCTTGTGAGAAAGTTAAAAATTATGGATATAGATTAAATCTAAGGGCTATTCTGATTTTCTATCTTACCCTGTGCTAGCTTTGGTAAGCTGTATTTTCTTTTCTTTTTTTCTTTTATTTATTTTTTGAGATAGAGTGAGCGAGCAGGGGAGGGGCAGACAGAAAGGGAGACAGAGAATCCCAAGCAGGCCCAGCGCAGTCTCACAAACTGTGAGATCATGACTGAGGCTGAAATCAAGTTGGATGCTTAACCGAGCCACCCAAGCGCCCCTGGGAAGCTGTATTTTCTAAGAATTATCCTATTTCATGCAAAAATTTCCAAATCCATTGATAGATAATCATCTCATAATTTTGAATGCCTTTAGAAAATGTTGTGATGCCCCCTTTTCACTCCTGGCATTGGTTTTTTGGGCCTGCTCTCTAAATCACTCATTAAAGGAATTTGTCAATTTACTAATCTTTTGAAAGATTTGATTTTTGGCTTTACTTACTTCATTAATGTCTGCTTATCCTCATCATGTCCTTTTCCCCACTTAGTTTAGGCTTAATTTACTAATTTTCTGAAGTTGAGATGTTTAGTGTATTTTTTTTATCTACCTAATATATACATTTAATGATATCTATTTCCCTCTTATCATGGCCTTAACAGTGTATTTCAAGGATATTATTTCCACGATCATTCAGATAAAAATATTTTCCCATATTCATTGGGATTTCTTCTTTGATGTTTTATTTAAATTTAGTTCAAACTGTTTATTTTGAAATAATTTCAGTTAAATCTGCAATGGTACAGAGATCTCCTATACCTTTACACAGCTTAGTTTTTCAAGTATTAATTCATCATAGCTCTTTAATGTCTTAATAATCAGAATGCATTTAAGAGTAAGGATATTGCTATGTAACCAGAGTGTGATGATTAAATATAAAACTGACACTGGGGTGCCTGGGTGGCTCAGTGGGTTAAGCATCCAACCTCAACTCAGGTCGTGATCTCATCGTTTTTGGGTTCGAGCTCTGCATCGGGTTCTGTGCTGACAGCTCGGAGCCTGGAGCCTGCTTCCAATACTGTGTCTCCCTCTCTCTCTGTCCCACCCCGCTTGCGCTGTCTCTCAAAAATAGGCAGTGAAAAAAAAAAAATTAAAAAAAAAAAGAAAACTGACGTTAAGATAATACTCTCATCTAAACTACAGACCATATTCCAATAATGCCATTTGTTTCATGGCCTGGTGGCTCAGTAGGTTAAGTGTATCACGATCAGCTCAAGTCATGATCTCACAGTTTGTGGGCTAGAGCTCCACATGGAGCTGGGTGCTGGCAGAGCCTGCTTGGGATTCTCTCTCCCTCTCTCTCTGCCCTCCCCCTACTCACAGTCTCTCTTTCTCTCTCAAAATAAGTTAAAAATAATGTCCTCTAAATAATTTTTCCCCTTCTAGTCCAGGATACAGCACAGGATCATGCATCACTGCATTTCATTTTCATATGAAGTTCATTTCTTCATTTTCAAATATATGGAGATTTTTATCATCTATCATTATTTTCTACATTAACAGCATTGAGTTTTTACACAAAAACTTTATATGGTGTTAACCCTCTGAAATTTAAGATTGCCCTGACATATGGTCAATTAAATGTTTTCTTTTTATGTTTATAAAGCATGTGTATTATTGGGTGCAGTGTTTAATGTCCACAAGGTCATTTGCTATTTAGGTTATTTGAATCTTACAAAAATATACTGTTCTAATTTGCTTGTCAATTATTGAGAAAAGTATGTTGAAATTTCCCACTCTAGATATGTCTATGTTCTGTCATTTTTTGTTATGTATTTTAAAACTATGGGCATATAGATTTAGAACTGTTACATCTTTTAAATGAAGAGAGCCTTTTATCATATAAAGTTTCCCTCTGTATCTCAAACAATACACTTTGACATAACAGCATGCCTTTGGTTAATGTTTGTATAACGCATCTTTTCCCATCATTCTTTCTATATACTTAGGCTTTAGTTGCTTCTTGTCTAAAAAGCAAATAGCAGATTTTCAATTTTTTTATTAAGCTTGCAATCTTTTAATTTGGGACATTTTATCCATTTACATTTATTATAATTACAAATCTATTTATAGATTTACACTTACCAAGTCCTTATTAAATCCCCTCTGTTCTTTGTTTTTCTTCTTTGGCCTGTCTTTAGACTAATTATTCCATTTCCCCTCTGTGTTACTTTGATAATCAGATACACTTCTATATTCTTTTAGTGATTACTCTAGACATTTCAAAATGCAGATCTGGAGTTATCTAATACTGATTTATATTTTTTTACCGTCTTCCTAAACTGTACATAAGCCTTAGAACACAGACTCCATATCCCCCTAACATGTCTGTTGTGTACTATACAGAACACACATGACATATACCAGTAAGACATTTTTATTGTTTCATAAATTGATATTTATTTAGATTTACTCGTACTTACCATTTTAAATGATTTTCATTCCATCATGCATTGACTACCATTTCTCTTTTGCCTAAGGTATACTTTAGTGAGGGTTTACTAGGGATATATTATCCCAGTTTATTTGGTCTGAAATGCCTTTCATTAATCTTCATTTTAAAGAATATGTTCACTGGCTATATAATTTTAGCTCTGTAATTATTTTCTTTTTGTACTTAAAAACATACTGGCTTTTTTTTTTTTTTTTTTTTTTTTTTTTTTT